CACAACCCAGGTAACCATGACACTCACATGTTCACACCCCAGGTAACCATGACACTCACATGTTCACACCCCAGGTAACCATGACACTCACATGTTCACATCCCAGGTAACCATGACACTCACATGTTCACATCCCAGACCATGACTCACATGTTCACAACCCAGGTAAGCATGACACTCACATGTTCACATCCCAGGTAACCATGACACTCACATGTTCACAACCCAGGTAACCATGACACTCACATGTTCACATCCCAGGTAACCATGACACTCACATGTTCACATCCCAGGACACTCACATGTTCACAACCCAGGTAAGCATGACACTCACATGTTCACATCCCAGGTAACCATGACACTCACATGTTCACAACCCAGGTAACCATGACACTCACATGTTCACATCCCAGGTAACCATGACACTCACATGTTCACATCCCAGGTAAGCATGACACTCACATGTTCACATCCCAGGTAACCATGACACTCACATGTTCACACCCCAGGTAAGCATGACACTCACATGTTCACATCCCAGGTAACCATGACACTCACATGTTCACATCCCAGGTAACCATGACACTCACATGTTCACACCCCAGGTAACCATGACACTCACATGTTCACATCCCAGGTAACCATGACACTCACATGTTCACATCCCAGGTAACCATGACACTCACATGTTCACACCCCAGGTAAGCATGACACTCACATGTTCACATCCCAGGTAACCATGACACTCACATGTTCACATCCCAGGTAACCATGACACTCACATGTTCACATCCCAGGTAACCATGACACTCACATGTTCACATCCCAGGTAACCATGACACTCACATGTTCGGTACATGTTCACATCCCAGGTAACCATGACACTCACATGTTCACATCCCAGGTAACCATGACACTCACATGTTCACATCCCAGGTAACCATGACACTCACATGTTCACATCCCAGGTAACCATGACACTCACATGTTCACATCCCAGGTAACCATGACACTCACATGTTCACATCCCAGGTAACCATGACACTCACATGTTCACATCCCAGGTAACCATGACACTCACATGTTCACACCCCAGGTAACCATGACACTCACATGTTCACATCCCAGGTAACCATAACACTCACATGTTCACGTCCCAGGTAACCATGACATGTTCACACCCAGGTAAGCATGACACTCACATGTTCACATCCCAGGTAAGCATGACACTCACATGTTCACAACCCAGGTAAGCATGACACTCACATGTTCACATCCCAGGTAACCGTGACACTCACATGTTCACAACCCAGGTAACCATGACACTCACATGTTCATATCCCAGGTAACCATGACACTCACATGTTCACATCCCAGGTAAGCATAACACACATGTTCACATCCCAGGTAAGCATGACACTCACATGTTCACATCCCAGGTAACCATGACACTCACATGTTCACATCCCAGGTAACCATGACACTCACATGTTCACATCCCAGGTAACCATGACACTCACATGTTCACACCCCAGGTAAGCATGACACTCACATGTTCACATCCCAGGTAACCATGACACTCACATGTTCACACCCCAGGTAACCATGACACTCACATGTTCACATCCCAGGTAACCATGACACTCACATGTTCACATCCCAGGTAAGCATGACACTCACATGTTCACATCCCAGGTAAGCATGACACTCTCATGTTCACATCCCAGGTAACCATGACACTCACATGTTCACATATAACCATGACACTCACATGTTCACAACCCAGGTAAGTATGACACTCACATGTTCACATCCCAGGTAACCATGACACTCACATGTTCACATCCCAGGTAACCATGACACTCACATGTTCACATCCCATGTAACCATGACACTCACATGTTCACACCCCAGGTAACCATGACACTCACATGTTCACATCCCAGGTAAACCATGACACTCACATGTTCACATCCCAGGTAACCATGACACTCACATGTTCACACCCCAGGTAAGCATGACACTCACATGTTCACATCCCAGGTAACCATGACACTCACATGTTCACACCCCAGGTAAGCATGACACTCACATGTTCACATCCCAGGTAACCATGACACTCACATGTTCACATCCAACGTAAGCATGACACTCACATGTTCACATCCCAGGTAAGCATGACACTCACATGTTCACATCCCAGATAACCATGACACTCACATGTTCACATCCCGACACTCACATGTTCACAACCCAGGTAACCATGACACTCACATGTTCACACCATGACCCAGGTAACCATGACACTCACATGTTCACAACCCAGGTAACCATGACACTCACATGTTCACACCCCAGGTAAGCATGACACTCACATGTTCACATCCCAGGTAACCATGACACTCACATGTTCACATCCCAGGTAACCATGACACTCACATGTTCACATCCCAGGTAACCATGACACTCTCATGTTCACATCCCAGGTAACCATGACACTCACATGTTCACATCCCAGGTAAGCATGACACTCACATGTTCACATCCCAGGTAACCATGACACTCACATGTTCACATCCCAGGTAACCATGACACTCACATGTTCACATCCCAGGTAACCATGACACTCACATGTTCACATCCCAGGTAAGCATGACACTCACATGTTCACACCCCAGGTAAGCATGACACTCACATGTTCACATCCCAGGTAACCATGACACTCACATGTTCACATCCCAGGTAACCATGACACTCACATGTTCACATCCCAGGTAAGCATGACACTCACATGTTCACATCCCAGGTAACCATGACACTCACATGTTCACATCCCAGGTAAGCATGACACTCACATGTTCACATCCCAGGTAACCATGACACTCACATGTTCACATCCCAGGTAAGCATGACACTCTCACATGTTCACATCCCAGGTAAGCATGACACTCACATGTTCACATCCCAGGTAACCATGACACTCACATGTTCACATCCCGACACTCACATGTTCACAACCCAGGTAAGTATGACACTCACATGTTCACATCCCAGGTAACCATGACACTCACATGTTCACATCCCAGGTAACCATGACACTCACATGTTCACATCCCAGGTAACCATGACACTCACATGTTCACATCACCTCAGGTAACCATGACACTCACATGTTCACATCCCGACACTCACATGTTCACAACCCAGGTAAGCATGACACTCACATGTTCACATCCCAGGTAACCATGACACTCACATGTTCACAACCCAGGTAACCATGACACTCACATGTTCACATCCCAGGTAACCATGACACTCACATGTTCACATCCCAGGTAACAACCCAGGTAAGCATGACACTCACATGTTCACATCCCAGGTAACCATGACACTCACATGTTCACAACCCAGGTAACCATGACACTCACATGTTCACATCCCAGGTAACCATGACACTCACATGTTCACATCCCAGGTAAGCATGACACTCACATGTTCACATCCCAGGTAACCATGACACTCACATGTTCACATCCCAGGTAAGCATGACACTCACATGTTCACATCCCAGGTAAGCATGACACTCACATGTTCACCTCCCAGGTAACCATGACACTCACATGTTCACATCCAGGTAAGCATGACACTCACATGTTCACATCCCAGGTAACCATGACACTCACATCTTCACATCCCAGGTAACCATGACACTCACATGTTCACACCCCAGGTAATCATGACACTTTTATTTTCTCTTCCCAAGTTACCATAACACTCAGGTGTTCTCGCCCGATGTAGCCTTAACACTCACATGCCCGAGGTAGCCATAACACTCACGTGTTCCTGCCCAAGGTAGCCATAACATTCAGGTGTTCCCGACCGCGGTAGCCATAACACGTGTTCCCACCGAGGTAGCCATAAAAGTCACATGTTCCTGCCCGAGGTAGCCATAACACTCACGTGTTCCCGCCCGAGGTAGCCATAACACTCACACGTTCCCGACCGAGGTAGCCATAACAGTCACATGTTCCTGCCCGAAGTAGCCATAACACTCAAGTGTTCCCGCCAAGGTAGCCATAACACTCACACGTTCCCGACCGATGTAGCCATAACACGTGTTCCCGACAGCGGTAGCCATAACATTCAGGTGTTCCCGACCGCTGTAGCCATAACATTCAGGTGTTCCCGACCGAGGTAGCCATAACATTCAGGTGTTCCCCGACCGCGGTAGCCATAACATTCAGGTGTTCCCGACCGCGCTGGCCATAACATTCAGGTGTTCCCCGAGGTAACATTCAGGTGTTCCCCGACCGCGGTAGCCATAACATTCAGGTGTTCCCGACCGCAGTAGCCATAACATTCAGGTGTTCCCGACCGAGGTAGCCATAACATTCAGGTGTTCCCGACCGAGGTAGCCATAACATTCAGGTGTTACCGACCGCGCTGGCCATAACATTCAGGTGTTCCAGACCGCGCTGGCCATAACATTCAGGTGTTCCCATAACATTCAGGTGTTTCCGACCGCAGTAGCCATAACATTCAGGTGTTCGTTACCGCGGTAGCCATAACATTCAGGTGTTCCCGACCGAGGTAGCCATAACATTCAGGTGTTCCCGACCGCAGTAGCCATAACATTCAGGTGTTCCCATAACATTCAGGTGTTCCCGACCGCGGTAGCCATAACATTCAGGTGTTCCCGACCGCAGTAGCCATAACATTCAGGTGTTCCCGACCGAAGTAGCCATAACATTCAGGTGTTCCCGACCGCGGTAGCCATAACATTCAGGTGTTCCCGACCGAGGTAGCCATAACATTCAGGTGTTCCCGACCGCGGTAGCATAACATTCAGGTGTTCCCGACCGCAGTAGCCATAACATTCAGGTGTTCCCGACCGAGGTAGCCATAACATTCAGGTGTTCCCGACCGCGGTAGCCATAACATTCAGGTGTTCCCGACCGCGGTAGCCATAACACTCACGTGTTGTTGCCTCTGTGTTTCAGGTCTTCACTATCCTGTACATCCTTGAAATCAGGCAACAAACAGCCACAACAGCAGCAGCATCGGGTTAAGGAGTGCAACTTGTGTATCTATATACTGAACTATCTAGGGACAACTTATATAAATTCTTGAACTTCTGATTTGATGTGTTGTCTCCAGTATGAACACAACAGGGATATCAAAGGTACTGATATATATAGAAGTGGACTAATGGAGGAGAGATATGTGTTAGTGTAATGAAGCGGTTAGTGTGAGGGGTTAATGGAAGGGTTAGTGGGGGTTAATGGGGTTAATGTGAGGGGTTAATGGAAGGGTTAGTTTGAGGGGTTAATGGAAGGGGTTAATGTGAGGGGTTAATGGAAGGGTTTAGTGTGAGGAGTTAATGGAAGGGGTAGTGTGAGGGGTTAATGGAAGAGGTTAGTGTGAGGACTTAATGGAATGGACAAGGTTAGTGTGAGGGCTTAATGGAAGAGGATAGTGAGGGGTAATGGAAGAGGTTATTGCAGGGGTTAATGAAAGAGGTTAGTGTGAGGGGTTAATAGAAGGGGTTAGTGTGAGGGGTGGTGAATGGAAGGGGTTAGTGTGAGGAATTAATGGAAGAGGTTATTACAGGGGTTAATGCAAGAGGTTAGTGTGAGGGGTTCATGGACAAGGCTAATGTGAGGGCTTAATGGAAGAGGTTAGTGTGAGGGGTTAATGGAAGAAGTTGTTGCAGGGGTTAATGAAAGTGGTAAGTGTGAGGGGTTAATAGAAGGGGTTAGTGTGAGGGGTGGTTAATGGAAGGGGTTAGTGTGAGGAGTTAATGGAAGAGGTTATTGCAGGGGTTAATGCAAGAGGTTAGTGTGAGGGGTTAATGGACAAGGTTAGTGTGAGGGGTTAATGGACTAGGTTAGTGTGAGGGCTTAATGGAAGGGGTTATTGCAGGGGTTAATGAAAGGGGTTAGTGTGAGGGGTTAATAGAAGGGTTAGTGTGAGGGTCGGTTAATGGAAGGGGTTAGTGTGAGGAGTTAATGGAAGGGGTTAGTGTGAGGAGTTAATGGAAGGGGTTAGTGTGAGGGGTTAATAGAAGGGGTAGTGTGAGGGGTTAATGGAAGTCGTTAGTGTGAGGGGTTAATGGACTAGGTTAGTGTGAGGGCTTAATGGAAGGGGTTATTGCAGGGGTTAATGAAAGAGGTTCGTGTGAGGGGTTAATAGAAGGGGTTAGTGTGAGGGGTGGTTAATGGAAGGGGTTAGTGTGAGGAGTTAATGGAAGAGGTTATTGCAGGGGTTAATGCAAGAGGTTAGTGTGAGGGGTTAGTGTGAGGAGTTAATGGAAGGGGTTATTGCAGGGGTTAATGAAAGAGATCAGTGTGAGGGGTGGTTAATGCAAGAGGTTAGTGTGAGGGGTCAATTGAAGGGGTTAGTGTGAGGAGTTAATGGAAGAGGTTATTGCAGGGGTTAATGCAAGAGGTTAGTGTGAGGGGTGGTTAATGGAAGAGGTTATTGCAGGGGTTAATGAAAGGGTTAGTGTGAGGGGTTAATGCAAGAGGTTAGTGTGAGGGGTCAATTGAAGGGATTGGTGTGAGGGGTGGTTAATGGAAGGGGTTAGTGTGAGGAGTTAATGGAAGAGGTTATTGCAGGGTTAATGCAAGAGGTTAGTGTGAGGGGTGGTTAATGGAAGCGGTTAGTGTGAGGGGCTAATGGAAGGTTAGTGTGAGGGGTCAATTGAAGGGGTTAGTGTGAATTGAAGGGTTAGTGTGAGGGGTGGTTAATGGAAGGGGGTTAGTGTGAGGGGTCAATCGAAGGGGTTAGTGTGAGGGGTCAATTGAAGGGGATAGTGTGATAAGTTATTGTAAGGACCAGCTTCCTTGACAAATTCCACAGGGAATGATTTTGTCTGGACCTGTTGGGACCCCACATTACCATGTCCATACAAATTTACAACCAGAGTAAAATGTGTGCATGTGTGTACAGACATGTGCATGTTTGCAAGTGCAAGTGTGCGTGTGTGTGAGTGTGTGGGGGTGGGGGCATGGGGAGTGTGTATGGGGGGTGCGTGCGCGTGCACGTGCATGTGCTGTTGTGTGTATTGTCTCCTCTTATAGAAATATGGTCTAATGGACTGTGCCAGCTCACTGAGATGCCATGTCACAGTTTAACATGAATACCTCACTCAGACACTGTGGACAGACTCACATAATGCCTGGAGGATAATGACACCAGGCTAGAAAATGACATGCATATTCTTTCAAATTCTTCTGCTCACAGTAGGTCCACATTAGCATAATGTGGTCACATGATCCTGCCACACAAAAGGGACACAACTCTGCACAGCAATTTGCAGTGGATTAAATGTCTGGCCAAAGTTACCTGGTCACATGATTCTGGCACACAAAATGGACACAACTTGACAGAGCAAACAACAGTGGCTTAGATGTCTGACCAACCAGGCCTCCAAACTGTATCCACAAAAACACACACACATACATTTGATTCCAGCTTTCTCTTTATTTTGGAACAAATAAATTACACCACAAGGGATGATAAATTAATGGCAGATATTTCACAATAACTGTTAACAAAATAAGATCACTGGTTGCTAATGACACTCTAGATCTGGCTCCACTACAGGCTGTGCTGCACCTTGCAATTCATTCTCCCATGTTCAATAAAAAATAATTTTCTATATTCTTTCTTTATTCAAAATTTGTAATAATTATTGAGTAATATTTGACATTAGTACTGTAAAAGAATTGGGAATATTAATATGTAACATCTTCGTGAAATTTTTTACATTTATTGATTTAAGTAGAGATAATTTCGGCACTGTTCTTTGACAATATATAATGGTATTTGTGGCAGTTTGGATCTGATTAACTGACGATGTAGTCAGCCAAACCAAACTTACAACAGTTGCCTGTTATTTCAACTTTTTCATCGTTTAAGCTAAAAAATTGAGCATATTTATTGCTTAATGGAACATAGGATTTGGAAGTACATATATAATGATGATTTCATTATGAGGCAATAGATTCAGTTTCATCATCATCATCATCATCATCATGAGAAACTGAGGGACAGCCACATAACTGCATGGAGCTTAATACTAGACTATAATGTGGATTTCCTTTCAACAAAACACAGACGACAGAAATTTGAACTTTCACAAGAGACCATGTTTCACCTTCCAACTTATCCACAAGCCTTCCTGGCTGTTTTACCCTAAAACCAACCATCAAATAAATAAAAATTGATCTCATCAAATAAAACTATGAAACAGGCATAAAGAAAGGGGCATGTCATGGCTTATAATTCGTATCATAAGGATTTGTTGCCAAATGTGTTCACATACGAGCATGTCAAGTACCAACTGTTGACACAGATGTCACACTTGTGGAGGTCCTGTACACTGTACACGAAGGTGTTATGTAGGAACTTTAGTATGGTATTTTCAGATATTCTACCAAGCAAATAAATTCAACTGTTTTCATAATATTTTACAAAACAGCTACAAAACACTGTATATGTACAACGTGCTGTAATACATTCAAAGTAACTTCAGTGCAACTTTGATACTTTTGAATTTCTTAAATGAAATATAAATATATCTTGTCAAGATTCAAGTGTTAGTATAAATTGGAAGGCCATGAAAACACAAATGAAAATCAATTGTAATTAAGTTACAAAAAATTTTCACATGCAGGTGTGCGCGAAAGGATGGAGACGGCACAGCACAGGTAAATGACTCAATCACTTTGTCGGCACTTGTGCACGTGCTTCTCGTACACCTGGCTGTTCATCTCAATGAACTCCTTCAAGCCCACAAGAACAGCGCATCTGGCATATGCAAATGAGCCTCACAGTGACCCTAATGCAGCTGATATTGTACCCCAGATCATAACGCTGTCACCTCAACGATCTCTTTCAAGAACACATGGCCTGATGTTACGTTCACCTGTGCAGCTGTTGACACGTGTCAGCCGCCAGCTCCTTGACGTGTCTGCTCCTCTGGACGTCGATATTGGAATTGGTGGTCGGGTTAGGCGTCTTGCACGGATACAGTAGACGCTTAGACATCGCCAAATTGTCCTCTGTTGCACCTCCGTTGCAACGTACAGCTGCAAGTGTTGCTGGAACCTGCGTCAGAGGTGCGTGGTTTGAATCTACCGGCTATGACTCGATACTGGTGCGTCGGTCTATAACTGGATTGTTTGGCTGAAAACGTCGCCATACTTGCCAAATTGTATTTCTATGGACGTTGAATCGACGACCAACGTCACGCTGCGAGGTACCACACTGAAGCATACTACAGCCCTCAGCTGTCAGATTCCTCGAGGCATGCCGAACTTGTGCCAGAACGATGAAAATAGAGGTGTTTCTTCTGACTTCTGCACGTGTCTGGCGTTTTAATGTGAACATTGCTGGCCATTTTTTCTCGAATATGTCATGCTTCTTGCAACTTTCGTGCTGTTCGAACAACTATTTGGTTGCGTTCTTCGACCATTTTAACACCCCCTTTCACTAGTTCAAATCCAGAATTACATTCACAAGATTACCAATGAAAAACGTTTATGTCACAATAACTTTGCCTCTGAGTATAACTACAAGCTATAGCGTCCCCAACAGAATATGTATACATACTCTCACAAAAAACAAACAAAGGTGATATTGACATATGACATTTTAAATGTTTATCCAAATTAGTGTTTGATTGTTATAATTTCGCCATAATAATTGAACCAGTGCACCGCGAAAAAACGCATCTTCGAAAACTTTAATGCACGTTTACGTTCGGAAGCTGGTATCGCAACTTGCATGAAAATGTCATGGAGAAAAAGTGGTTCGCAATATGCATCGTTAGTAGGGAAAATGTCTAAATAAGGCGCTGTTGCTCTCAGACGTTCGTTGGCATTTTTTAGCTAAAGAAAGAATGTCGTTTTATCGCGATTCACTGCTGTTAAATGGAAACCCTTTGATTGAAAGGCTGGAGGCTGGTGAGTCTCAATCTGCCGTTAGACGTCACCTCTTTGTTCACCAGAGTACCAATGTTTCCCAGAGTTTATGAGACCGATATCAACAAACCAGTTCTACGCAAGATCGGTCTCGAAGTGGTAGACCTCGGATTACATCCGGATAGGTACATCCGGGTACTTCATTTGCG